GTTAGCTCTGCTCTGCTGGCTTTTTGATGCTGGAGAAAAATGTGTGTGCCAAGCAGCTTGGGAGTCGGATGGACTGGGTTTGCAAACAGGTTTAACACTGTGAGACTGTGGCAGGTTGCGTAACCTCTTTGACCTCAATTCCTAAATCTGACAACAGCCAATAATGGCATTCCCTTTCTGGGCGCCCTGTGCAGAGCCCCTGAGGTCTTGTGTGAGGTCCTGGCCCCTCACTCCCCAGCCTGAGCCCCGACCTCCTACCCCACCCATCCTCTAGTTGTGCAGGCATTACCCCCTCCGGGTGACTTCATCCCCAGGGCCCATCACACAAAAGGTGGGCACACCCAGACACACCCAGACACACACACACCTCATCCTCTCCTCCACACACTGCACACTGCTACACACACTCACGCATATTCATACACTCACACCTCACACACAGATGCACAATCTCCTAGCTGTCAATGAAAAACACTGATACACACGCTCACCCACAAATACCTCACACAACTTATACATCTCACTCATACACACACTCACACCTCATGAATACACTCTCCCACAGGCAGCGCCCAGAGAATCCGCGGCCTGAAGCAAGGCCACGTCCACACTCCAAGGGCAAGACACAAACAAAGTCTGCATTCAGTTGGGCCAGAGGCTCTGTCCCTGGCCAGTGGTTTGGGCTGAACTCAAGTGGTTATTTTCCAAATAACAGGTCACTTTGCCCGAATTCACCCAGCACTGTCTCATGTCCAGCCACATGGAGCCTTATTTTGCCTCTGGCATTTCTTTTCCTCCACGCTGGCTGTGTCCAGGAGAGGGGGAACAGGCTGCATGGAAAGCCAGCGAGAGGTTCAGGTCATCTTCCATCGGCCCGAGGCACCTGCCACCGGAACGTCTAGGTCTGTGGGGGTTCAATGTGTGTCAGGGGCTTCAGCTGCCCCCGATCCACAGCCCGGGGTTACCACCCTGGGTAAGAAGTCCCTGGACCTGCTCCATCAACTTTTTATATGCTCACATAGACACCACTGCTCCATACACACCACACACAGGTGTATGTACCCCTATGTTCTTATACATCCTCGAGACACACACAACTCAATACACAGGCACACTTTATTGAAATGCATCCATACAGGGACATCATCGTATGCTCGGGCACACCTATAGACACATGTGTATGTCCACACACAAACTATTAGCTTCCGTCCACATGTACACACGTACACAAACACACCTCCAATGTACACAAACACCCAGCTGTGCTGGGGTGCCCAGACGCCCAGTGAATGCCACCACTTTACGATGCTTGCTCAGCTCTGGGCCTTGCCTCTTGAGGCTTGTAAATGCCAACTGCTCGTGGCGTGTGTTTACAGGCAGAGGAGGAATGAGCAGCCCCAGAGAGAGGGTGAAGCCTGCCAGGGGCTGAGCGGGAAGCTGGAGGCCCAGAAAGACGAAGGACAGGCCCAAGGTCTTGCAGCTGCTCAGCAGATGGAGAAGCAGGCTGCCCAAGGTCAAGGGAGAAAGCCTGGGGTGTGAGGGGGGGCGGGGAGAAAGGGGGGAGGAGGCATCTCCCCAGAGCCTTTACTCACTGCTGCCGGCCAGGATGGTGATGGTGAAGAACTTCAAAGCCAGGCTAGATCTGAGAGAGGACGAAACCCAGGTCCTGAGTCGGGCCATTCCTCCTTCCTGCAATTCCAGGCCTGCTGCTCCCGCCCCGGCCTCATTATCATTACAGATGCCCTCAGTGCTGTCCCTTGTTGACCCTGGCGACATTGATGCCGTGGTTCCTGCTGCCCATCCCTGTGATTAGCAGCTCCAGGAAGATCTGAGCACCTCCCACCTGCCCTGCGCCTCCCAAAGGCTCAGCCCCCAGAATGGCGGAGCCAGGAGGCACCAGGAGCCTCTCCCCTCCCACCCCGAGCAGGAGTCGGCTCATTGCCTCATGGGGTCAGATCACTGTTGCAGATCAGAACCAACCCCCTGCCATATTTGGATCAGAAAGTCATGTGACTCAACCTGGTGGCTGGGTCTTGCACTCAGAGCCAAGGGACCTGGATCCTTGGATTCTAGTCCCAGCTCTGCTTCTAAAATGCTGTGTGGCTCCGATAGACCTCTTAACCTCTCTGGGCCTCGATTGCCTCATGAGGATGGACTAGATCCGTAAGGCCCTTCTAGTGCTGAAAATGCAGAGACATTCCTCAGCCACCCCTCAGAGACTCAGAGCTCTCTTTCTGGATACGTGGATTTAAGGAGCCAGTTCCCCACCTCCATCCCAGCTGCTCTGCATGGAAGGTTCTATCCCCAGGGAGCAGGCACGTACCTGAAGGTCCTTGAAGAAGAGGCCCTAAGATCAGGGCCCCTCCACCCAGAGGGGTGTCTAACCAGCGCCGTCTTTCTGCACCCTTTGGGGTTGGCCTGCACCCCCTCTGCCATGTTCAGGGTTCTGGGGGGCCAGCGACATAGAGCTCCAAGGGTCCGAGATCTGCTCCAAAGGCTCTGGGGAGTAGGCCCCAGCTTCTCACTGCCACCTACACTGGCAGGATCGGGCCGGGGCAGTGCCCCTGGGCAGGAGGCTGGTGACACATGGCCTAGAAAAAGGAGGCTCCACCCCCTCCCTCCCACCACCACCTCCACCCTGCCCACAGCTGCCTGGTGAAGTCCCCACCCCCGGGGCTCTGGCCTGGGGGGGGCGGGGGGGGGGTTGTGCACCTGGCCAGGGGTTGGCCCCTCCCATTGCATCTGAAAAAATATTAGTCCAAAGTCATCTCTATCCCCATCTGAAAAGGATGTTCAAGTTATTTAATGACACTTACTACAGGACAGTGGGGCAGACTTTACTCAAGGGGGCCATTACAATGGGTTCTCCCCTTGGGGAAGAGGGATTGAACTTAACTCCAACAAGGAGAAATGGGAATTTATAGCCAAGGAGGAGGGTGAGTGTCGGTGGATGGAAAATACTGACAGGAAATATCAGGGGTCAAGGTGATGCTGGCTGAACTGACTTAACAGGATTCTTCCTAAAATTGGACAAAACAGAGACAAACACGAAAGCCCAAAAGCCGAGGCCTAGTTGAGCGAGAGTTCAAGAGAGACTGGGTGGAACATCAAGCAGAGAATGTTCGCCGGGGTCTCCATGTGGCTAGGTGCCTGTCTGTAGGCTTCCCTCCACATCTGCAACGTGTTGGTGCCCACATCTGGCTAAGACGGAGGGCACAGGCACATGCACCTGGCAGGAAGCCCCCAGGAGGGTGAGCCTGCCCAACCCGGAGCAGGGCTTCCCCACCCGCACCACGGGCAAGCGGCCCCACGCCCCTCGCGCTGAGCAGATCCCTGACCCCACACTAGATCCAGTAGAAGCCCCCTCCCCACCAAGTCTGACAGCCAAAATGTCCCCAGGCATCACAGGTGTGCCCTAGGGGGCTCAGTGGCTTCAGGCTGAGAGCCTCGTGGCCTGGGAGTCGGTGCCATGTGCCCCTTGATAGAGGGTGGCATGCGTGTGGGAAAGATGGACAGGAGAGGAGCAGAGGGGCCTGGAGCTTGGGGAGCCCCTGGAGGATGGCATAGTCCCACTGATGGGGCTCTGACCGCAGCACCCCCGCAGCTCGGCTCGGAGACCCTGGCAGCATAATTCCCTTCCCTGGCCCCCGTGTCCTCAGCTGTGGACTGGATGTAACCGGCTTCCCGGAGAGAGGATGGTTGGACAGGTGGCAGGTGCCATGCCACCTGGGCATGGGGTAGGCACTCAGCGAAGGATCTGATGCTGCCACGCCCAAGCTCCTTCTCCAGTCTTTTTTTTAAATATATTTTTATTGATTTTAAATAGGAAGGGAGAGGGAGGGAGAGAGAGATAGAAACATCAGTGATGAGAGAGAATCATTGATCAGCTGCCTCCTGCACGCCCCCCACTGGGGATCAAGCCCGCAACCCAGGGATGTGCCCTTGAACAGAAGCAAACCTGGGACCCTTCAGTCCATAGACCAACGCTCTATTCACTGAGCCACACCAGCTAGGGCCCTTCTCCAGTCTTGAGGTGAACTGGGGTGGTGGGAAGGGGAACAAGGCAGGGGGAGGGAAGCGTGCTCTTGGAAATTAAAACCCCAAGTAACCCCCCACCTTCACATTGGCCCTGCTCTCCCAATGCCCCCTAAGTGGCTGACGAGGGACTGAAGGGGCCCTCTGGGGATTACCTTCTTGGGAATCTATCACACCAACTGGCCAGCCTGTCCCACAGGTCACCCCCCTCCTCCCAGCCCCCATCCTGCCTCTGCCCAACGTCCTCTCCATGGATCCAGGCCCTTCTAGTTCCCAGAAGTTCTAGGAAACTCCACTGCATCCACGGGCCAGGGACGGTGTTCATTTACACTTGCTTACACAGTACATTCCTCCGTAGGTGCCTGTGCACGTTCTCATGTGTGAATCTTGACGCTTCACTCAGACAGGGCGTCCTGGGGAACAAGGGACTTTATTTCCTCCAAAGCCCGGGGATTCCCAGAGACAGCACCTGCCTCCTCAGGCTGGGAGCTCCCTGAGGACTGAGAGTGCTGGGAGGAGGCTGGGCTCTGCCTTCACTTGTCTGCACAAAGCTTGGCTCGGTCTTTGCTTCCATTTTGCATATGCCTCGTGGTGATACCACAGCCTCCGAAGGAAGAAGAACTAAGAAGTAAGGCCAGTCCACACCTGGACGATATAGCCTCCATCCGGTAGGTAACCCAGAGCCACTTAGATCTGTGCCAACGAGGCCACCGCCAGGGTGGGGACCCCTGCAGGCCTCCAAACAGCCCTGTTGCCAGGTTGTCTCGTACTCCCACTGGCTGTGCTGGTTGGGCTGGTCTGCAGAGGGCAAGCCCCTGAAGTGGGGGGATCAGCTCTTCCCTCTCTCCGCCTTCCCCCCACCAAGCACAGGGAGCTCAATACCCAAAGTCAATCAACTGGTCGACCCAGTATTTCTACTCTGGGAACTGTAAACAAAGATGCCTGCACAGATGAAAAAGATATTGACTGTGGTGTTTTATATGATGCACCCCCCAAAAATCAGGAGCAACTTAAGTTAGGAGTTAGTTAAGCCAGTTATTAATCAGCCATCCATAATCCATAATGTTTTTAAAGATTTGATAATACCAAAAACAAAATCCTGGATATGAAGGGTAATAGCAATTTTGTTAAAACAAAAAAGCGGGGAGGGAACGAGAAGGTTGGCATGCATATATATAAAAATTATCAGAAGGATACACAGCAGAACATTAGTAATGGTTCGTTTTAGGCAGTGAAATAACTGATGGTTTTCTTTTATTACTTGTAATTTTCTGTATTAAAATGAATATAAGATAATACCACTAAGATGGAATAGTCAATTTCCTTGAAAGACACAAACTCACTCAACTGGAAATAGCCTATATCTATTAAAAAAAATGAATATTCAATTGTAGTTTAAAACCTTCTCATAATGAACTCCAGGTCCCGATGACTTCACTGGTGAATTCAACCCAATAACAATACTGTGTTAACTGCTAGGGCTGCCGTAACAAAATACCACAGACTGGCTGGCTTAAACAATAGACATTTATTTTCTCACAGCTCAGGAGGTTGGAAGCCCAAGATCTAGGTGAAGGCAGGTTTGGTTTCATTTTGAGGCCTCTCTCTCCTTGGCTTGCAGATGGCCACCTTCTCACTGCCCTCACATGGCCTTGCCTCTGTGCGTGCACCATGTTCTTGTGTCTTTGTGAGTCCAACTTTCCTCTTCTTATAAAGGCCACAACATATTACGTGATTTTACTTATATAAAACGAATAGGCAAATCTATAGAGACGGGAAGTAGCTTAGTGGTTGGCCAAGGCTGTGGTAGAGGCGGATGCAGAGAAACTGTTAATGGGTAGGGTTATTTTGAGGGGTTGTTGAAATGTTCTAAAATTAGATTGTGGTGATGGTTGCATAACTGTGCATATACAAAAAAAAAACTCACATCAATTTATACACTGAGAAATAAATAAGTGGTATGGCATGCAAATTATATTTCAGTAAAGCTTTTTTTAAAATGGATCATTTTATTCAAATTTTAAAAGGAAAAAAATTCTGATACATATCATATGGATGAAACTTAAGGTCATTATGTTAAGTGAAATAAGCCCGTCACAACAGGACAAATACTGCATGATTCCACTCAGCTGAGGAACTTAGAGGAGTCAAATTCATAGAGACAGAAAGTAGAATAGTGGTTGCCAGAAACTGGGGAGAGAGAAACGGAGAGTTTAATGGGTGCGGAGTTTCAGTTTTGCAAGATGAGTTCTGTGGATGGATGGTGGTGACGGCTCACCACAGTGTGAGTGCACCTAATGAAGCGGTTCTCAACCTGTGGGTCGCGACCCCTTTGGGGGTCGAACGACCCTTTCACAGGGGTCGCCTAAGACCATCGGAAAACAATATAATAACATATTGTTTTTGTGATTAATCACTATGCTTTAATTATGTTCAATTTGTAACAATGAAATTGGGGGTCGCCACAACATGAGGAACTATATTAAAGGGTCGCGGCATTAGGAAGGTTGAGAACCACTGAGTCCTAATGCAACTGAACTGTTCACTCAACGATGGTTAACATGGTCAATATTGTTAGAGCATATTTTATCAAGAATTTTAAAAGTAAATATTGAAAATGGATCATAGACCCATTTGTAAAACCAGACAAACGTCTTGGGGTCCACAGTCATCCCCCCATTCTGACTCCTCAGGCAGATCCACCCACATTATGCAAATCCACATGAGACCCCCACCCACACCCACCAGACGGGCCACCGGGGGTCTGCACAGCCCAGCTTCCAAACAGCCCGAATGTGTCTGGTCACTCCAGAGACACCAAAAGTCCCTAGCGGGCAGGGGCGGGGTCTGCCTGGGGGCCAGCAGGTAGTTGGCGCTCAGGAAAAGCCCTTCATTTGCTGGGTGGCTGGGCGATTTCTTGCAAGTGTGGCCCTTGTCTTCCATAAGCTAATGCTAATAATGAGAACACCAACTACCACTATTGAGCGCTTACAGTATGCAAGCCAAGCTTCGTATAAGCCCCATGTCTCAGCATCTGCACAAGAACCCCATTGTGCAGGCTGGGCCTCCACCCCATGTTCCTCCACCCCGTTTAACAGGTGAGAAAACAGCTGGGGAGTCAGGGTGACCGCCAAGCCTCCTTCTGAACGCCCAGGCGCTGCTGCGTCCCAGCAGGATGTGGCCTTGAGACAGGCAGCAGGGGGCCTCACCAGGTCTGAAGGCAAAGCAAGAACCTTGGAGCCATGACCGTGTCAAAGCTGCTGGGCATGGGAATGGTCCAGCAATTTGGAAAGAAGATTCTTACTAGCCTGAGCTTGGGTCACTCTGAGTGCACTGAGAGGTCGAAGTGGAAATCCCCGCTGTGGGTGACCAGCTCTGTGTCAGTTGGAAACCAGTGGCTGGGCCCGAGGTGTGGGGAGAGGTCAGCATGCCCAGCCCTTTGCTTTGGTCAGAACCTTAGACTCTTCCCTCCTGGGAGGAGGGGTCACCAGGTGCCATGCATTTACTGACCAC